AAATAATAATTTTGCATGTATTTCCAGATATATTTGATGATTAACTTTCACGAACGTAAAATTAATTGATTGAGTAATGGTTATTATTTGAATAATTGTTTTCTTTTGAAGTTAATCATAAGTTTATGTATCATCCTTAGTTTTAATTTTCATTGATTTATTATTGATCATCTTATCCCTTTATTGCTTTTGAAATTGTCGAACCAAATCCTTTGATTTTGCAAAAATTTACTTTTCATATGTTTAAATACTAAAGTTTCGTTTTGTGTCCTTATTTTTTAGATTTAATATTTCTAGTCGTCAATCACCCCTACAAATGTTTTTTTTTTATTTAGCGAATAAGCCTATTGATTTCTTATGATTGACAGATAAATTTTTCCCATTTTTTTATTCAGCAAATAGGCCTTTTGATTTTTTGTTGACGGTTGATCGAGGAAAACCTTTTGGATGTGGTTGATGTACCTATGATCATGATGTGCTTGGCGCATGATTCAACGGTTACTCTACATGTACATGTAGACAGTAGTACACGTGAACTGATTCTGGAAGCCAAGTATTGGGGAAGGTGAACCAGTAAACTAATGTACATATTACAAGTGCATAGTGGATTGAACGAAGCTGACCCAATGAGCCATTCGATCGGTGAATTGCATTGTATTTTTAGGGTGTCACTAGGCGACCATTGCAAAAAGCCGTAGATGGGCAGATGGCTCGCTGCCAAGAAAAAAGCATGGGCACGGTGCGCGACCATTGAGGCCAGTTAATGCCCAATACGTGTACCTGGTAACACGGTGGGCTAGGTGATTGGCCAGCTGAACGACACGAACGCCCAGTATTAAAATCGTGGGCATCACGTGGCAGGTTTCTCATGTTTGCTGAGCAACGGTATTGGCGAGGCAACTGTGACGTTTAAACTTACAGCTACCCAATTGGTCATTAACCACAGTATCCAAAACTCGGACAAATGGTACACATTACAAGTGTGTTGACGGTAAACCTTTCATAAATACCGTTACTTCCAATCATGCAGAAACCGCCATATCGGTTTTTTCAACATTTACCCACATCCTCACTTTACTCAGCCATTACATAAAACGGCCTCAGCGGACTATTCCTGATTACGATGTACCGGGTCACACGTTTACTTGCATTAAAAATGAATTTAAAAAATGGTCCTGCCA